ACGTTCACAAAAATCCACATGTAAGTGGATTTATGCGCTTGGGTTCAAACCTGTGTTGTTAAAGGATCTGTGTGTGTGTGTGTGTGTGTGTGTGTGTGTGTGTGTATATATATATATATATATATATATATATATAAAATAGATACTCATGTATTAGTTTAAAAAATAGTACATCGACGGTAACTTTGACATTCCGAGGCCTTCCCCTATTACATCATACTTCCCTGTGGGTTTTACTGTGTTTGTGTCCACAAGCAATATGATACCTAGTTTATATGATGTCTAGCGTTGCATGCATATGGACTTTAGATAGTTTTCACACACACACACACACACACATTTTGACTAATATAGTAGTGGTTCATTCATTCTTGCTGCTGTGAGTACATTCACTTGAATACTCTACCATTTATCCATTCCCCTGATGGTGGACATTTGTCTTCTAATATTTTTTATTTTACAGACAACATAGCCATAGATCTTGTTGGACATGTCTCTAGTGAATGTAAGCAGTAGTATCTCGGTGGCGGAGACCTAGTTGGGAGGCAATTATTCAGTTTATGTAGCCATTAAATTACTTTTCAAAGTAAAGATACATTCACATCTTTACCACATGTGATATTACCAGAATTTTTAAACTTCTGCCTGTTTGATAGGTATCTTACTGTGTTTTTAATTTGCATGTTCTTGATTACTAATATAATTGAGAATCTTTTTAAAAAAATTTTTAATGTTTTATTTATTTCTGAGAGACAGTACAAGCAGGGGAGGGGCAGACACACACACACACACATGCGCACACACACACGCGCACACACACACACGCGCACACACACACACACGGACTCGGGAGCAGGCTCCAGCCTCCGAGCTGTCAGCCCAGAGCCTGATGTGGGGCTCAAAATTACAAAGCATGAGATCATGACCTGAGCCGAAGTCGGATGCTTAACCCACTGAGCCACCCAGGTGCCCCTATAATTGAGAATCTTTCTTATATTTATGCGCCTTTCATGTTTCCTCTTCCTTGAAGTGAATTTTTTTTTTTTTTGCTTGTTTTCTATTAGCTTCTTTATCTTGATGTAATTGCTTCACAGAATTTCTTTGTATTTTGGCCCTTAATCTTTTGATACTTAACTGTTTTACAGTTATCTCCTTCCAAATTTTACCTCATCTTTTCACATTTTTATGAGTTTTTGATGGGTATGAATTTAAATTTTATTGTAGCTTAATTTATAAATCTTCCTCCTTGTGGTCTGTGGCAATTTTTGTGCACGCGTCTTGTTTAAGAAATTCTTCTTTTCCTTGAGGTCATGAAGGTATTCCCCTGTATCTTCTCTAAAAGTTTTGAGTTTTTAAATTTTCTTCTAAGCGTTTGGTTATTTTTACACGCGAGTCTTTAATGCAGCTAGAAGTAACTTTGGGTATGGGATGAAGTATGGATCCATTTTTTTTTTCTATCCGGATGACCGGTATGTTAATACTCCATCCCTCTCCCATTGAGGCATTGCCACTTCTTACCTATATTAAGGATTCACATGTACAGTCTCTGTTCTCTTCCATTGGTCAGTCTGTCTCCCTGTGTCAATAGCATTCTGTGTTAATTATAGTCTTAGTTTTATAATGAGTCTTAATTTCTGATAGAGCTTTCTTTCTTTTTTCTCCACCTTGCTTTAATAATAAACTCCTGACTAGGTTTGGCCCTTTGTTTTTTGGTTTTTTTTTTTTTTTTTGGCCTTTTCTACATAATTTTACATAAATTTTACATAAATTCTACATAAATTTTATTATTTTTTTTAAGTAATCTCTACCCCCAACATGAGCTTGAACTGAGGACCCTGAGATCAAGAGTCACATATTCAACCAAGCCAGCCAGATATCCTTTCTACTACATAAATATTAGAATTCATTTAAATTGGGGGCATCTAGGTGGCTCCGTTGTTAAGCATCCGACTTTGGCTCATGTCATGATCTCAAAGTTCACGAGTTCAAGCCCTGCATTGGGCTCTGTGCTGTCAGCTCAGAGCCTGGAGCCTGCTTCTGATTCTGTGTCTCCCTCTCTCTCTGCCCCTCCCCATCTCACATTATTTCTCTCTCTCTCAAATAACATAAACATTAGAAAAATTAAAGAAATTCATTTAAATTGTATGCGAGGGGCAGGGGCTCAGTCTGTTGAGCATCTGACTCTTGATTTCCACTCAGGTCATGATTCCAGGGTCATGGGATCGATCCATGGTCAGCGTGAAGCCTGCTTAAGATTCTCTCTCTGTCCCGCCATCTGCCTTCTCCTCTGCTTACACTTTATCTCTCTCTTAAACAAGTAAATAAATAAGGATAAAAGCATTTGTTTGGAAATGTATTAATAATAATTAATTGGATTAATTTGGGAAGAAATTATATCTGTACAATATTAAGCATCCCTAGTCATGAATATATTTCTCCATTTATTGGTATCATCCTTAATTCCTTCCACCAAAATTAAAATTTTTGCTTTCAGGTCCTGTGTATCTTTTGCTGGATTTATTACTAAGCAACTTAATTTTCACTAACTTCTAAAAGTTACATTTTAAAACTCTTTGTGGCTGGTATATAGAAATGAAATTGATTTTTGTTTGCTGACCCTATGTGCAGGGACCTTGCTTATTCTTGTTGTTTCTAATAATCTGTGAAATCTTTTAGGCTTTCTACATAGTCACCTGCAAATAATGGCAGTTCTCAGTCTGTCTTCTCAATCTGTATAACATTTACTTTTCTTACGTTACTGTGTTGACTTAACTGAAAATTTCAGTACCACGTTGGACATCACTGGAATTTCTGATTTAAGAGGAATGCTTCCAACAGCTCTAACATTTGCCACTACATGTTGGCCCTAGGTTTTGGTTCATGCCCTTTATTGAGTTAATGAAACTTCCTTTTGTATACATACGTCTTTTTTGCTAGATTTTCTTTTTTAATAAAGATAAGGCTTAGAATTTATCAAATGCAAATGTATATGGCGATAATACGTTCGTGTACTTTTTTTTT